TAGTGTCCGTCTGTGGTGTCGTGTTCTGTCTAGTGTCCGTCTGTGGTGTCGTGTTCTGTCTAGTGTCCGTCTCTGACGTCGTGTTCTGTTTGGTGTCCGTCTGTGGTGTCGTGTTCTGTTTGGTGTCCGTTTGTGGTGTTGTGTTCTGTCTGGTGTCGGTCTGTGGTGTCGTGTTCTGTGTAGTGTCCGTCTGTGGTGTCGTGTTCTGTCTAGTGTCCATCTCTGATGTCGTGTTATGTCTAGTGTCCGTCTGTGGTGTCGTGTTTTGTGTAGTGTCGGTCTCTGATGTTGTATTCTGTGAAGTGTCCGTCTGTGGTGTCGTGTTCTGTTTGGTGTCCGGCTGTGATGTCTTGTTCTGTCTAGTGTCGGTCTGTGGTGTCGTTTTCTGTGTAGTGTCCGTCTGTGGTGTCGTGTTCTGTCTAGTGTCCGTCTCTGATGTCGTGTTCTGTTTGGTGTCCGTCTGTGGTGTCGCGTTCTGTGTAATGTCCGGCTGTGGTGTCGTGTTCTGTCTAGTGTCCGTTTGTGCTGTCATGTTCTGTCTAGTGTCCGTCTGTAGTGTCATGTTCTGTGTAATATCTGTCTGTGATGTTGTATTCTGTGTAGTGTCCGGCTGTGATGTCGTGTTATGTGTGGTGTCCGTCTGTGGTGTTGTGTTCTGTCTAGTGTCGGTCTGTGGTGTCGTGTTCTGTCTAGTGTCCTTCTGTGGTGTCGGGTTCTGTCTAGTGTCCGTCTGTGGTTTCGTGTTCTGTCTAGTGTCCTTCTGTGGTATCGGGTTCTGTCTAGTATCCGTCTGTGGTTTCGTGTTCTGTCTAGTGTCCTTCTGTGGTATCGTGTTCTGTCTAGTGTCCGCCTGTAGTTTCGTGTTCTGTCTAGTGTCCGTCTGTGATGTTGTGTTCCATCTAGTGTCCGTCTCTGGTTTCGTGTTCTGTCTAGTGTACGTCTGTGATGCCGTGTTCTGTCTAGTGTCCGTCTGTGATGTTGTGTTCTGTCCAGTGTCCGTCTCTGGTTTTCATGTTCTGTCTAGTGTCCGTCTCTGGTTTCGTGTTCTGTCTAGTGTCCGTCTCTGGTTTCGTGTCTTGTCTGTTTTGTGGTATCGATTAATATTTGGTGTCGGTCTGTGGCGGTGGTTGTTGCGGTAGTTGGGACCGAGTTTATGTTTCTACTCATAAAACATTTAATTTTACCACCCATATATTTGAATAGGTTCATTTTTACATTATGTGAATTGTCTGCATGTCCTTTGGGCCATTAGTCTGAAACAGTTAACAATCTTCTAATTGAAAAAAAATACCCTATCAATTTATTTAAATTTAGTTTAAACATTAAAAAATCAACCACAGATAAAATACAAATGTTATGTGACCATATGCAAAAAAACATTGCAAGCGACACGAACAACTTGTAGCTATATAGCATCATCAAATGCAACGAAACAGGTCAAAAGCTCATTATATAAAATATCGCTGTACTCAAGAAAGGATAAAGGGCATGTATCGGAAGATATCATATTAGTTTGTTTTCAGATTATACATATTGACAGTACGATCGCCGTATCTTTATGTTGACGTCACACGTACATGATACGACCGCAGGATTGATATAGGATCATTATCTGTGTCCATTAGGGTTATCGTTGCGCGTGTTTGCACGAGATGTCCTTGGAGAGGGCTATTTGTATTAAATACACACACCCCTGTGTCATTGCCCTCCGTCCCCTTACACACCAGCCTTGTATGTGTCTCATATCAACGCAATACTGACCGATGTATTGTACTGATCACCCCACGCTGACCTCCGCCGCCATTTGTTTATTCACGATTAGAACGTGTCTTTTGAATAGTTACCTGTGCAGTATGGACTTTTTTTCCCAAGGAGTTTGAAATCTGTGACACCGTCGGCAGTCGATAATCACGCTGGAGAAACGTGATCCCTTCAATATGCTGACGTATAGTACGACGATATTTTTTGTTCAGCACAACTTATCCATTGGAAATAGAAAATAGGATTGGCTGTACCTATATTTATTTGTATAGCAATCACAATTTGAAAAAAACTTTCGAGTAGCGAAATGATCATATAGATTACTGAAAGTAAAAAAAAATCTATTACACCACAGCGTTGTAAATGTATTTATACATTTATACAGCGATTATCTGTATGTACTACACAACTGAAGACTTGGAAGCATACATTTTTTACATACACTTTATATAAAGGTCTGTTTTGTTGTATTTGTGCGTATGACAAAAGAGACACATATATTAATTAGAAACGGACATAAATGATACTTCTTATATTTTGTTAAATTCATTTTTAAAATATCGAAAAAAAATCGACTTAGACTAGCATATGAAGGCGGTAGTGACCTTCCTTATATAGACCTACATACTTATAATGAGTAGGTCGACATTCATCGCCTGGTTGGTGACCTAAAAATCTCATTAATCGATACGAAAGTTATTCCCAACACGTTACTGTGAAGGTAATAAATGTCTCCATTGCCAGCCTGGCCACCCACCATTACCTATTGGACGTGTCATATAAAGCCGGTTTCGTTGTTTCGCTATCACACGCACTTTCCCGATTAATATCAAAACTCTTTCCGTCGCTGATGGAATTTAACGTGAATTTAGGTGCGACCATTTCTCCGTGATTGAACAGGTGTTATTTAAACATGCAATACACGCGAACCGTCGTGATGGAACCTTCGATTTATTGGATTGTGTGATAATGATAATAATAATAATATACAGTATTTATATATAGCGCCCTATATAATTTGTAAAATTACTCTAAGGCGCTTTACAACATATGTATAATAGTAATGGTTATAATTGTGAAAACAAACAACAAAGGCTTGCAATCACTTTCATACATTTAACAAGCAATGTGCACATAATTGAACAAATAAAAGGGTGGTATTTACATGACGTCTTTGCAAAGATTCTAAAATGCAGACGTGAAGAGGTGAGTTTTTGTGTCCCTCTTGAACTTGGCCAGGGTATTTGACTTCCTAATAGCAGATGGTAAGCTATTCCACAACGTAGCCGAAACCCTCCCAAAGCATCTGTTTCCGTAGGTCACAGTACGAGATTTTGGGACACACAACAAAGATTCTGACTCCGACCGCAGTGATCTTGACGGCTGATACAGGGTAACAAGTTCCTGTAGGTACTGAGGAGCTGTTCCATTCAGTGCCTTGTATGTGTATACCAGAATTTTGTACTGCGACCTGTATCGTACAGGTAACCAGTGCAACGAATAAAGCGCAGGTGTGATGTGCTCTCTCTTTCGAGTACGAGTAACTAGCCGTGCTGCAGTGTTCTGAACCCTCTGCAGACGACTAGTTATAGTTTGTCAGATATACCACAGAGCAGGGCGTTACCATAATCCAACCGAGAGGTAACAAGTGAATGCACCAAAATCTTGCATGCATCTGCAGTTAGAAACTGCCGAATACAGCCGATGTTCCTGATCTGGTAGTAACAGGTTTTGGCAATAGCGTTCACTTGTTTCTCCATGTTCAGAGAACTGTCAAAGTATACCCCTAACTACATCAGTGATGTATGTAGCCGTCCTGGGAATCTGTTAAAAGGTTCTCCCACTATATAGTCCCTGGTTCACCACTTTGACTTTGTAATGTTCATTCGTTCATTGATATACTCAGAGTATTGTCACTGGCTCAACTGTTCTTATACACAAAAAGGATCCCAAAAAACTTCAACCGATTAAGGCTGCACGTTCCAAAACTTTTCATGTAACTTCCGGACTTAATAATTTCAACAATTTCACTGCCGAATTAAGCTAGAAATTAAAACAATGCCAAAGACAACCAAGAGAAAAGAAACAATACGTATGCCAATCCCAGCTACAAAAATGGCATGTCAGTGTAAAACGAGGAGTCGTGACGTGATGTGTCAGTGTAAAACGAGGAGTCGTGACGTGTCAATGTTAAGTGAGGAGTCATGACGTGACGTGTCATTGTAAAGCGAGAAGAAGTGACGTGATGTGTCAGTGTAAAGCGAGAAGAAGTGACATGACGTGTCAGTGTACGTAAAGCGAGAGGAAGTGACATGACGTGTCAGTGTACAACGAGGAGTCGTGACGTGACGTGTCAGTGTAAAGCGAGAAGAAGTGACGTGATGTGTCAGTGCAAAGCGAGAAGAAGTGATGTGACGTGTCAGTGTAAAGCGAGAAGAAGTGAATTGATGTGTCACTGTAAATCGAGAGGAAGTGACGTGATGTGTCAGTGTAAAGCGAGAAGAAGTGACGTGATGTGTCAGTGTAAATCGAGAGGAAGTGTGATGTGTCAGTGTAAAACGAGAAGAAGTGACGTAACGTGTCAGTGTAAAACGAGGAGTCGTGACGTGTCAATATTAAGTGAGGAGTCGTAACGTGACGTGCCAGTCTAAAGCGAGGAGTCGTGACGTGACGTGTCAGTTAAAGCGGGGAGTTATGACGTGACGTGTGAGTGTAAAACGAGGAGTCGTGACGTGTCAGTATAAAGCGGGAGTTGTGCCGCGTCAGTGTAAAGCTGGGAGTCGTGAGGTGACGTGTCAGTGTAAAGTGAGGAGTCGGGACGTAACGTGTCAGTGTAAAGCGGGGAGTCATCGCGTGACGTGTCAGTGTAAAGCGAGGAGTCGTGATGTGACGTGTCAGTGTAAAGTGATGAGTCGTGACTTGACGTGTAAGTTTAAAGCGATGAGTCGTGACGTGCCAGTGTAAAGCAAGGAGTCGTGACATGTCAGTCTAAAACGAGGAGTCGTGACGTGACCTGTCAGGGTAAAGTGAGGAGTCGTGCCGTGATGTGTCACTGTAAAGCGAGGAGTCGTGACGTGACGTGTCAGTGTAAGGAGTTCTGACAAGGCTTGTCAGGGTGATACGGAGAGTCGTAGATTTTAACCGTAGGCTTTCTATGCTAATTTTAATTTGGATATATAATAGTTTTCTCTGTAAGTCATTTAAGGTAGATGTAGGAGATAAACAGGAAGAGAAAAACGGAATAGGTATATATACCTATATTTGTAATCTATTGTGTAGGATAAAAACGATCTTGGATAATATCCTGGCAATAAGTGCATTTCAATAATGCATCAAGGAGGAAGTGGTTATGTTATGTGTGGGTGTATAGTAAAAATGAGAATATTTAAGTGTGTTTATTTAAAATATCTTCGTAGTTTATTGTCTTTATCACTTCTTCGCTCTATCGACCTCCATACAGAAACCCAACAACAAAATGCAGACAACAATGGCGCCTTGTGCTTTCTCTTTGGTCTTTCGGATTATTTCAATGGAGAAAATGAGTGATTGTTAAAATTTGGCCCTCACAGTTTTCCAAGAGAAGGTTATCACGTTTTAAATATCAGAAAGTTTAAAGCGATGAGTCGTGACGTGCCAGTGTAAAGCAAGGAGCCGTGACATGTCAGTCTAAAACGAGGAGTCGTGACGTGACCTGTCAGAGTAAAGTGAGGAGTCGTGCCGTGATGTGTCATCAGACTCCGGGACAAAAACAAAGGCTGCGTCGTGACGTGACGTGTCAGTTAAAGCGGGGAGTCGTGTCGTAACATGTCAGTGGAAAGCGGAAGACGTGCCTTGACAGTGTAAAGTTTGGACGTGTCGGTATAAAGCGAGGAGTCGTGACGTGTCACTGTAAAGTGAGGAGTCATGACGTTACGTGTCAGTGTAAAGCGGGGAGTCGTGACGTGACGTGTTAGTGTAAAACGAGGAGTCGTGACGTGACCTGTCAGAGTAAAGTGAGGAGTCGTGCCGTGATGTGTCACTGTAAAGCGAGGAGTCGTGACGTGACGTGTCAGTGTAAAGCGAGGTGTCGTGACTTGTCAGTGTAAAGCAAGGAGTCGTGACGTGACGTGTCAGTGTAAGGAGTTCTGACAAGTCTTGTCAGTGTGATACGGAGAGTCGTAGATTTTAACCGTTTGCGTTCTATGCTAATTTTAATTTGGATATATAATAGTTTTCTCTGTAAGTCATTTAAGGTAGCTGTA